GAGAGAGTCACGGTGGTCCACCAGCACTCTGTTCATTCTTCTAAGGAGAGCTGACACATCAGGGTCACTATGTACCTCGAGACACACACCGTCGAGCCCCTCGAGGGAATCGCACACAGGAGACCTTCACTATACCGTTCACACACGGCACCCACTGCGGGAACAACACATGCACACACACACCAAAATGGCCTTTACTACATAGGTTATAGCAGCAGTTGCGTAAAGCAGAGGGATGACGACGGATGAGTCATCGTCCCTCTGCTCATTCAGAGGAGGGCCATGAATGGAAGATGGAGATAATGTTCAAAATGAGGAGATGAGCCTCAGAGGCGGACCTGCAAGGTTGCAGGGCGTGCCAACTGCCAGGACCTGCCAGCCAATGCCAGCCCACCTGCCAGCTCCCAAAAATAAAATGTACATTTTCGTTGTGTGCCACAAAGCCTGAAATGGACAAACAACAGGAGGGATGATGGCAGTCACAGGAATCTGGACATCCACCTGTGTGAGCCAGTTTCCCCTCATTTCCACACGGAGCACACGGAAACGAGAACAGTGTGACTGACATAATTTGGCCTCCACTGCATGCTGTGTTGCATCAGCAGACGTGGAGGCCTCTTTAATGTGAAGTTCAGGCTGAATCGGTTCAGCAATGATGAGCATGTGTGGGTTTGAGTGCATTATGACAGACTGCCGTCATTGTCTGCTCAAAAATACAGTACACCTCAAGTACGTTCACAAAATATGAGTCAACCAACAACAGCAGGACTATCACAAAACACTGAACAACAACATTGATACGTAATGTAACTAGTATTTATTGCTGTTCAGTTTGCATTTTAATACATTGCAAAGATGTTTATATTTTGTACATTCCACTCTCTATACTAACTACAAGTATTTGCTTTAAAGTGGACATAACAGCAGCAAATACAGCACCAAAATATACAATTCTAGAGTTTTTTCTTCCCTTATTCCATTTTCACTAAACTGTAATTCAGGAGGAAATGTGAGGGGTTCGGCCACTTCTGTTTATACAATTAGTCGAGCAAGTTTTTCTCTGATACAATGATGTCTGTAAACTTGGTTGATTCCTCTCGAGACAACCATTACCAGTTGTAATGGGCTGCGGTGCAGGGTAAATGGAGGCCTCTACAGTTCCAGTCCTGGTGCCCTACCCGCTCCCAAATCTTCGGCTGAGTTGTCAAGGAAACCAGCCAAGCAAGCGCTGATGGCATCAGAGGTGTTGGTCCTGGCCGCATTTTGATTATAAAAGGCATCGCTGTCAGAGGTCATGCTGTGTTTTATTTAATGTTATACTTCCGATCAGTAGGCTGTACCAATCTGCGTCAGCAGGTTCACACGTTTCTAAAGTAACGTGTGCCTTTTCTTTTTAGTCTCTGTTACATCAGTGCTGAAGCTCAGCAGCACACAACCTTCTGCCAAGCCTTTTGTTCTTTGTCATTCACCGGATCCTCGAATAACTTGTCATTTAGATTAAGATAAAGAGGCGTGAGCTGCTCTGTCGTGTACTCGGAACTTATTTTGGAGGCTCATGTAGAATAAAAAATGTGACCCTGTAGTTAAAAAAAAAAAGAAGGAAAATCTCCTTTAAAGGCAGCAACATGTGTTAAGTTTAGATGGTATTGCACTTGTGTTTCCTGACTACTGTATGACATGTTAAACACTTAACTGTGCTAATGTTCTGTTGTCTTAATTGTGGCCTACGTTGCTTATCAATGAAATTTAGGTGAACATCATTTCACCTCAACTAAAGGGCTTTTGAGATTTAAAAACAAAAGCCACTTTAATATCACCATCATGAGAATGCCTTAACAAGATGGAGGAGAGGTAACAGCAGCTTGAGAGATGAGAGGGAAGGGAGTTCATCCCAAGAGACGCTGTTGGCAGTGAGCAAAATACTGATGCAGAAATCAGCCAAATGATGTTTACGTAAGACCGTAATTAATTTATGCAGTAGATCATCACACGAACTCCTTCAGGTTAGCAGCCAGATGCAAATTATTGGTTTGAATTGAACGTGTTTACCGATCAAAAGTACAGTGTATTTAGACTCATATGTTATGTCAACATAAAGAAATTGAAATGGCAGCAACAGACCATCTTCAAACTTAATAAACATCGCAACATTTTTGGTCTATTCATATTTGCTCCTAACACTGGCTGAAATAACAGCAGATGAGCTGCAGCAACACTGGAAGCACTGTAGGTCAAAAACAAAAATGGCAGCGATGTTGCAGAAATATGCAGAAACAGATTATAATAGCTGATCTGTCGCCTCTGTGCATGCCTTGAAGGCTTTCCACAACACCGATCTCCCTGGACGCTACGCTTTCATCACAGCTGGAGCATTTGCGGATAGTTTACACTGGAGAGATACGGAAAGGAAAACATGCACCACAATGTTCCTGTATGGATTTAATTCAGGAATATATTCAGTATATGTTGCAGGACCCACCCCCCCAACTTGACCTTGATTGTGTACGAAATCTTAAAGGAACATGACACAAGCACACAGCTAAAAGGCCTGCAGTGATATGTATTATGTAGCTGTTTTGTTTCCTTGTTCTGACACCAAAATGATGTTCTTCTCATCCCGCTCTATACCCTCAGTTGTTTGTACGTGGCTCCTAGGGATGTGTGTGTGTGTGTGTGTGTGTGTGTGTGGTCCTTATTATTCCCAAAGCTCCTCCTGCAGGCTGTAAATGAAAATGGAGTTAGAGTGAACTTGTGTGATGCTAAGAGGGTTTGATGGTCTGTAGTGCCATGCGGAGCATCTCTCAGCTGGATAGAGTTCATCTGAACAATTTCCTTTGATACAATCCATTAACACCTTGTCTTCAGTAACCTCCAGCTGACTTGAAAACACACAAAAACTCTCTGTCTCACACACACGATTGTGTCTCCCCTTTCCCTGCCTTTAACAAACACAAACTGACTTTAGTGTCACAGACAAACACACTCCCTGTGTCTTGCAGCACTACTTCAGTTCTGCAAAAGCCGTCGTGCTT